CCTAATTGGTCAGGTGGAAATGACCTTCGCGCCAAGGTCCAGCAACCACGCCAATCAGGTGACAGAAGTCTGGACTGCGGGCAGGGCAACTGCGAATCGTTTGCGGGTTGGCCGACTGCACACCCTCACAATAAAGCCCCCCCCCACCCTCCTAATTCCGTCTCCCTTGCCTGCCGTTGTTGACGCATGTGATCGTGGGCTATCGTATTCTGAGGAAAATTTCGGAGGCTGTCTAAGGGTTTTTCGGTTTAGGACCTGAGTCTTTCTACTCACTCACTAGGGCTCCAACCAGAAAACAAGTCGAAAGTATATGATCTCATGTCAGATATATATAACCAGAAGGTTAGAATTTCACACCGCTGCGAAGTAACTGCGAGCAAGTGCGCCATGCAACTTAAAGACCAACCTGACGGAAACTATCGTATTCCCTGTCATACGTTTTTGTAGGCATGAAAGAAAACTCAGTGGGGGTTGCTTTCGCACATAAGGGGACATAAACGAGTTAGGCCTTACATTCATATGGAAACTGGGTGCAAGTTCAAACGTGTTCGTCTCTTCGGACAAGTAAGTCGTGGGAATGGGGGTGGGGTCGATAAGCGAAGGCTGGTTGTGAGGGTAGGGTTTGATGGAGCGGCCTAGGGGAGGGAGGAGGGGGGGAGGACGGGGGAGGGAGACAAACAGAACGTGGATGACTGCATGCGGCAAAGTGACTGTGGGCCAAGCCAGCTGTGGAGCTTGTAGGAAGTTATTTTGTGCACACAACGCGGGCTTCATCAGCCTGATAATGGTCGCTTCTGCTGTGGGACCCTGTAGATCATTCGGAAAACTTTGTTGGGGTCTACCCGATGTCCGGAATCGACCATGTGCGCCAGAATAGAGCTGTTTATACTCCTGACTTCACCTTTTCTCAGCCATGCCGGCAGGTGTTCCTTTATTCTTTTGGATAGGCGCCGGCTCATGCGACCAATATAACCTGCTCCACAGGAGCAAGCAAAAGAGTGGATGT